GAGTGCAAGCTTACCTAAGATTCTGTGGAGGAGAATGAGCTGCAAGTCTGCAATGTAAATGTGATGACTTTATGGCTTAGTGAAGAGAATCATACACACACACACACACACACACACACACACACGCACGCACGCACGCACGCACGCACGCACATTTTTGAAAACTGTTGTTAGGTACCACGTTCTCATAAATGTGTCAATTATTCTTTAGATGTAATTATTATTTCATGAGAACTGCTTTGGGTCATTTTATTGTTTTTCAAGTTCAGGGCTTTCTTAGTTTCTATTTTTAATGCTTACTAATCATGTCAGGCTTCCTAAGTAAGGTGTGCTATCTACATTGCTCTAGACAGAAGATTTTATTTCCAAAATTCCAAAATAAATGAAACCTAGAGACTTAATATTATTAAACAATACAGACAGTATTTACTCTCAAGTCTGACTCAATAATCACTATGATATAAAAATTACTTATATACTCATAAAAGTTGAAAATGAAAGAATTCCAGTAAGACAAAGGGTACCACAGACCAGTGATAAAAATATCAACATATTAATATACTGCTTCAAATTGATTTCTGAAAACGACCTCACACATCAACCTTCCAGTTAATTAAAGAATCTGAAAACCAGATGTGTGTGTGTGTGTGTGTGTGTGTGTGTGTGTAAATCATGATGAAACTCTTGCCAAAGTATATTTTGGAGCTACAGCAAGGTGATTCAAAGCACAGGCTCCTGAGCTAAGGCTACATTTCTGATTCCACCACTTGCTTGTGTAACTTGGACACATTCTATAACTTCACTTTGGTCCCTGGGTAAAATGTGATTCACTTGTAGTAACTACAATGAATTATTTGGCATCTGTGAACATTAAATGAGTTTAATGCATATAAATGACACACAGAGAATGATGACTTACATTATTCAAATCCAGGGGGTTATTTAGCCCTTTCTTACCATTTTTTTTTAACAAAGACTTTTTTTTACATTCACCACAAAATTGAGCAGGAAGTACAGAGAATTCCTACAAACCCCATGGCTTCACACACACACACAGACACACACAGAAAAAAAAACAAGAGTGAGCATTTGCTATAATGGATGGGCCTACATTGACACACCATTAACACAGAAAGTACATAGTTTATGTTAGAATTCATTGGGACTATTATATTTATCAATCTGTGGGTTTTGCTACATCTATAAAGACACATTTCTTTCAGTCCCACAGAGTCTTTCATGCTATTGGAACCCCTGCATGATAGTCTTTTCCCCCACCCCTGGTGACACTAATCTTGCTGTCTCCAAAGTTTTGCCCTTTACAGAATATCACTGTGGTGGATGAATGAGAGTAGCCCCCGTAGGCTCACGTATTTGAATGCCTGGTCCCCAGTTGGTGAATTATTTGGAAAGGGTTAGGTGTGGCCTTATTAGAGATGGTGTGTCACTGGGGGCAAGCTTTAAGTTTCAAAAGCCCATGACATAACTAATTGGCCCTCTGCCTTCAACTTGTAGATGGGATGTAAGTTCTGAGCTATTGCTCCAAGTGCCTGCCTGCCTGCCTGCTGCCATGTTCCCCTCCATGATTATGGATTCATCTTTTAAAACTCTAAGCAAGCCTCCAATTAATTTTTTTATATAAGTTGCCTTGTGTAGCAGGAATCTTAAATGGTCTTATTAATAAAATCAAACCCAGTGCCAGTTACTGGGGTGAATGCTGGAAGATCAGAGAAGCAGAACAAGCCACAGCTAACCTCACCTTGCTAGTTCCTCAGCTGATCCTGTTTCCTCAGACTGGAAGCCTCTCAGTCCTCATCCAGAATGGGTCTCAGCTGAACTGTTGCTCAGAGCCTAAAAGCTTAACCAGGCCAAAAGCTTCTAGTTTCTGGTCCTCACGCCTTATATACCTTTCTGCTTTCTGCCATCACTCCCTGGGATTAAAGGCATGAGTCACCATGCTTGGCTGTTTCCAATGTGGCCTTGAACACACAGAGATCCAGAGGGATTTCTGCCTCTGGAATGCTAGGACTAAAGGCATGTGCTACCACTGACTATCCTCTATATTTAATATTGTGGCTGTTCTCTTCTCTGACCCCAGATAAGTTTATTAGCGTGCACAATATTTTGGGGAACACAATACCCACCACAGCCTTGGTCATGATGTCTCTTCACAGCAATAGAAAAGTAAGACAATCACAATGGCACAGTTTTACCATGCATAGCTTTTTGGATGGTTTTCTTCATGAATTAATATATATTTTGATTCTTCCCTACTTTAGCACCAAATATAATTCCATTCATTATATGAGGCTGGGCAGTGGTGGTGCATGCCTTAATCTCAGCACTTGTGAGGTAGAGGCAGGCAGCTATCTGTGGATTCGAGGCCAGCCTGGTCTACAAAGCAAGTTCCAGGACAGCCAGAGCTACACAAAGAAACTGTGTCTCAAAAAATGAAAAAACAACAAAAATTCCATTGTATGAACACACCTCATTGTTTAGCCACTCACCTCAGCATTTCTCCACCTTTGAGGCGTGACCCTATTTGAGGGAGGTCACATATCAGATTTCCTGCATGTTAGATTATTCATAATTACAGTTATGAAGTAGCAAAGAATTAATTTTATGATTGGGGGTCACCATGACATGAGGAACTGTATTAAAGGGTCGCAGCATCAGGAAGGTTGAGAACCACTGATTTAGCTGCTGAAACACGACTTGGTTGAATTCTAGGTTTTGTCAACTGTGAATAAAGCTGCTGTAAATATAGAGTACAGGTTTTTTGTGTACTTAAGTTTGTAATTCATTTGGGCAGAGAACAGGAAAGGATGCTTTTATCATATAAGAATGTTATTTTGTTAAAAAAAAATTTAAAAAAAGTGCTAGCCTGTCTTCCAAAGAGGCCAGACCACTTTGTATTACCGACAGCAGTGAGTGAGCTTCTGTTCCCACAGCCTTGATGGTAGTTGCTGTTGTGCTTTTGCTTTGGGCCTTGCTAATAGGTGTGTTGTGGTTATCCCATCACTTTTTTATTCTCTTTAATTTTGTGAAATGTGCGAAAAAATAATGCTTCCTAAGGGTAAAAGCTACATACATTTAATTAAAAACCTAAGGATATACTATATTTCCTAATCAAATGACAATTTCCAGTGTGGTTTATTAGAGGAAATCACTAAACTTTAGTAACCTCATCAGTAACTTCCAACTCACTGTTACAAGTTTCCCCAAAGTCCTTCAACGTGAGAATATTGGTGAAAGCCAATGGTTTTCCTATTTATGAGAATTTCATGTATTTTTATATATCTTGTCATTTTTCTTGTCCCCCAACTCCTCCCAGATCCTTTACTTTCCTTACCCACCAATCTCATGCTCTTTCTCTCCCTTAAAAAGAAAAAACCCACTAAAAAACATGGAGTCCAAATTGTGCTGGCCATCTGCTCCTGTGAACCAGGCCTGCCGTAGAGTGTGGCTGATACAGCCAATTTCACGACCCTAAAGGAACTGATTTTCCCTTTCCCAAGAGCTATCATTTGCAAACAGCTTCTTGATTAGAGGTGGGGCTTTGTGTCCACTTCCCCTCCTTCTTGCTTCGACTTTTAAAAGACCAACTTTAAATTTTCTATCACCAATAGTGAAGAGAAGGCAGAGCATAATATATCTTCGTTTTATAAACAAGTTAAATGCTATTGAAATCATAAAAGAACACCAATGGGAACCCTATTGCTTAGAACCTTATTTTTGTTTGTTTTGAGATGGCTTCTATGTAGCCCATGCTGCCTTGAAATTACAGGTGTAGGCCACTGTGCCCAGTTTGGGGTGCTTTAAATACAGCAAAAAGCAGCATCTTTGATGTTCTCATCAGTCTGCACTTTCTGCAGCAGAGAGAGGTTATGACAGGGAACCAAGACTGGTCAGTGTGCAGTTATCTGACTGTGGAGTCCCAGCACCAAATGGGACATTTATAACGGAATCCCTACACCAAGGCTAATGAAGATGGCAGCAGAAAAACAGAAGGAGCCAGGGGAATGGGAAGACTGCTGTGAAATACCATCACTCAGCAGCACACCACCTCTCCAGTCATTCCAGCATAGTTCCACCTCCAGTTATGGAGTAACAGGCAGTCAAGGCTGCTGAGGGCGAGTCCGTTTCCTTCCTGAAGTGACTGGCTTGGTTTCCCATGTTCAAGAGCTCAGCCTTACACTCAAGGACATTTGGGTCCCATATGTACTCAGTAACACACACAATAGAATAACAGGGCATGAATTTGATTTGAGCGGGGGTTGTCAGGGAGAATGGAGGTGTTGGAGAGGGTAGAGAAGAGTGAATACGATCAAAAATGCCTTTACTCATGTATGAAATTCTCAAAAACCAAACAAGCCACTCCCTTAAAGCATCTGGTTCTTAGAGACTGGCACGGGGAGAGGGCTTCTAGTTTGTTCATTTCTAAGGCTCCAGCTATTAGGGCCGCAGTCGGCGTCCAACACCAGCACTGCACTTGAAATGCATCAAGAACCGTGGTCTCCTAGAAGCGAGACCACACTCACGAACGTCACCTGTCACCAACAATTATACCACACGCCCAGACATCGAGAAGGCAGGGAGACAACCCCGCTTTCTTCCGTATTCTAAGCCCCTTCAAGCCGGCGCACCCCGCTGCCTCCTCTCCACTTCGGATGCTCCGGGAGCTAAGGGACCCCGCCGGCGGGGCCGGAGACGGGCGGTGCAGAGACCTGCCGAGGAAAGGCCTTCCTCGACGGCACCAGCAACAGCTGGGTGGCGAGCGTCAGACGCCGCGGCTCGCTAAGAGAATGGCGTCCGGCCCCGCGGCGACCCACCCGGACAGGGGAACCTACCAGCGCGCCGCCGCGGGCGGAAGTGACGTCGCGCGCGGCGCGCAGGGCCGCCCCCCGGGAGAGGCGGGCCGGAGTGGGGGGAGTTGCTGGGAGGCCGGGGGCGGGGCGCGGCCGCGGCTCCGTTTCCGGTGGCTGGTTGCGCTCGCTCACCCCAGCTGCAGCCACTCTCTCCCGTGGCTGCTTCCTCCATCCTGGTATTTTTTGGAGCCTCCATCCTGGTTCTTCCAAAGTGCCCGGACCCAAAACAGGAAGTAAGTGCGATGGAACCTTCAGGTCCGGGCCTCCGCCGCAGCCGCTCCGCCCAGTGCGGCCCGGCCGGCCCCTT